TTGTTTTCCCAAAAGATAGTTACTCATTCACTGAAGGGAAGCTAAACCATGTCTGGTACACATTGAATTCATTCAGTAAGTGTTTATTGAGCATTTACTATGTATCAAGAATGCTGTCAAGTGATGGAGATACAATGTTAAGGAGAAGCTTCTACTGGGCTAACATCTTGGTAAGGGGCTCAGACTTTAATCAAAAAGTCATAATGTGTTTAAATTGGTTAATGCCAGTTTTGTGTGTCACAAAATGCTGTGTTAATCCCAGCTGATTCTATGCAGCTCTGATATAAGCTTGCCACTTTACAAGAATTTTATGAATTAACACCTTTCCTGAGAGCAGTCAGATGGCCCTTGAGGTAGTCCATAATTTCAGCACACTATTAAGGTAAGTTTTTTTTTTTTTCTGTATTTTTTAGATGTCTCAACACATTTAAAGAATAAATATTTTCTTCTGGGATATAAAATAATATCCAAAGAAACGTAGTTATTTAGGTTAAAGTCTATATTCAGAACAATATCCTAGCTGACTATTAAATAAAATAAATGGCCCTCAGTAGTTATAATATAGTTAATATAAAAAGGAAGTTGCTCACTCTGAAAAGGATTTATTAAAAACAAGCAAACTCTTCTCAAAAGCTAAAACATATTAGCTATCTCAAACTGTCTCATGATGATGTTTAATTCTGCCCAATAACTTTCTGTAATATTTACAGAATATTGCAGAGAATAACCAAAGTTATAACATTACTAGGTTCAAACATGACAAATACGTTGTGACAAAATTTTTTTTACCAAAAAAATATGGGGCACCAGGGTGGCTCAATAGGTTGAGGGTCTGACTACTGATTTCAGCTCTCTAAAATAAATTTTTAAAAACATCGTGGTTACCTAATGGAGTTTTATGTCTAATTTTTATAACCCAGATGAAACCCCTTAAGATAAGGCTCTAAACTATTAAGTGCATCTAAGATAAAAGTTCATAAATGACATTTTCAACAATAATTATGGTTTATGGTATGTGTACTTAAAAATAATTTCCAGGGGCATCTGAGTGGCTCAGTTGGTTTGTGGTAGGGTCCCCTCCCTAAGGAAAGGAAAAAAAAAATATCTCAAGGCAACCTTGCTATTCATGTATGTGACAACATCTCTCACAATCTTGTAACATGATCCCACTTAATCAGACTGCATGTTTGTATGTTACCATATATGGGAGACAAAGAAGTAAAAAATATATAAAAAACCATGCCATGTGGTGTTCAGGGCTCAGTTCTTTGGGTACAAAACCAACTGAGCAGTGCTGGCAGAAATAAAGTTGCTTCCTGGAAAGAAAAGCCTCAGTGTCTCGACCTCTATGGGAGAATCCTGCTATATGTTAAGCTTCTGACTTCAGCTCAGGTGATGATCTTGCAGTTAGTGAGTTTGAGCCCAGAGTTGGGTTCTGTGCTAACAGCTTGGAGTCCGAAGCCTGCTTAAAATTCTGTCTCCTTCTCTCTGTGTCCCTCCTCTGCTCACATTCTGTCTGTCTGTCTCTCTTTGTCAAAAATAATAAATATTTTTAAAAATAATTTAAAAATTTCCAAAATCTTTTTGATATTCTGAAAACTTAAATTTATAATCACTTAAGTTAAGTGATGAATATTCATTAAATATTGAGGCCATTTTTAAATAAAATATATTGAAGCAATTTTTGAATGCAAGTGTATCTAGTTTTGGCCTCTTATTACAAAGAAAATAAAGATATTTAAGTCTATAAGTAAACATGTCCTGTGCCACATGGATAAATTTACCACAAGGAAAAATATACATCTAGAAACTATGAAATGCATTCATAAACCTGTAAATCCAGAGAATTCTAGTGTAACAGGCAGTCCAAAATTGCCCACTTCTTATATTTCAGTAGAAATGAAAGTTTCTAATGGTTAGGAATTCTAATCAATATATGTAATTAAAACTATTAGGAATAGTAAGTCTAAAAGAAAGCTGTGTATGAAAGTAGGTAAGGACATTAAATAGTGTTTTTTTTTTGGGGGGGGGTAAAGGCAAGTATGAAGGACATATTTTTGTTAAGGGAAAAAGACTAATTTTGTCCTAATGTAGGATGACTATTTTACTTTTTGTTTTTTTGCAGAATGAGAAAGAGGAAAAATATAGGAAAAAACCTGAATGATTATTTTTAAAAGCTGTAGGTTTGTGGGAAAAGAATCTTGGAAAAGGAATTTCATGCATGGTCAATCTGAGTAGGATTGAAATGGATTTATGTAAGTTTTTAAATAATGAGTTAATATTGAAAGTACACTCGTGTAAAATTAGAATTTGTTTTCTCCCTGTTAAAAGGATAATGTTTTCTGAAATACTTTGATGTGCTTTTGATAAGAGATGTAAAAAGTTTTTCTTTACCTTTAGGGTAATCTGCCTGGAAAGCAAGGATTTTAAATTTTATCAAAATAATTTCCTATATTTCATGTTGTCTTTATCCGTTTTTTGATTACTTGGGAAAACTGAATTACCTCAATATTAAAAGAGCTAAGTTTTGTTCACAGTCATGTAACCTTCCATTTGCCTTTAAAATCTTCTACTATCACTTTGGTTAAATAGATAATTAAGTATTATTTCATTCAATTTAGTCAAATGTTCAAACCTTTTGATGTTTTTGACAACTACCCAAAATCACCCAAAATCGATTTCTAAATGGGGTCTCTTTGACCTCAAACTAACATTGAGATTTCCCAGATGACCCCTGGAAAATTACAGAGAATTTGTCTCTCTACCTTGTAGAAGAGAAGTGTTAAAATTAATTAGGTTTATTTAATATATTTAATTACACTAGAAACATTGCCAATAAGAAGTAGTGTTAAGCCTTATATATTACTAATGTAGGTATTGCAGAAGTTGTTTGAAGTTCATAGAGATTTACCAATTCTCTTATAGTCCAATTGTTATTAATATGCTACAAAAATAATGAAATTTCCTTATCAAATAAACTACCATCATATCTTTTATCATAGCCATTTGTTTCTTTCCCAGTGTTCTTGTCATTTGCAGATAGTTATTGTTTTTATTAGTTTTACAAAAGTGCTTCATCTTCAGTGATATATATGGGAAGGATTGTGACAAGTACTCTAGAATATAGATTTCTGATAACTATAAGATTATGCCACTGAAATGGGTGAAAATCTCTAGAACAAAAGGAAAACCAGAATTCAGGTGGAATAAGAATTAATAACATGGGACTTAATAAACTGGTAAACATGATTATAGATTTTCTTAGAACTTTTTCCTTGGAATATTGCTAATTCCTTAATGTGTTGTTTTTCCAGATTTAAGGAAACCTTTTTCTCTTTTCTCTTAAGCCAACTATGACTTGCAGCAATTTGGAAAGCATGCTTTTGTGCTTTGTTTTGTTTTGTTTAATGTTTATTTATTTTGAGACAGAGCACAAGCAGGAGAGGGGCAGAGAGAGAAGAGAGAGAACCCCAAACAGTCTCTATGTTCACCATGGTCCCAACACAGGGTTTGATTTCAATGACTGTGAGATCATGAACCAAAAATAAGAGTCAGATTCTTAACCAACTGAGCCACTCAGGCATCCTGGTAAGTATACCTTTGGAAATAGTATTGAAACATTTACTTTTTCTCCCTATCTGATCCTTCCAGAATTTGGAAACTTACTGAGCTGCCTTATTTTCATGACAATATTATTATTTGCATAAGTTCAATAAGAATTCGTTCTACTTATAACAGGACACAATTGGAAACCAAGGCTTTAACTGGAATGTCATATTTGGAAATGTGCATACAATCAAATATAATCATAGAGTTTTAAAAAGATAAGGATGACTTTATGGAGCCTGGGTCAACACCTCTAGTATTCTAACAAATAAAAGAAATTAACCAAGAAGTCACTTGGCTAAAATGGGTTGGTACTTCTTCGGGTACCTTCTTTATTTATTCAATATCAGCTGGTTTGATTCATGGAGGCTCTCACTAAGGAGTACTCTAAGGTCTCTTAGTATTATCCTCCTAATTGTCATTATTAAGGTTGTTCTGGTATGCTGTGTTCTCTTAAGACTCAAAGATCTTACATGCATGTTTACAGCCATCAGCAAACAGTCTCATTGTGCTTGGGAGAAACAGAAACAAGGTGAACAACAAGATGGACAGCAAGACCATTTTCTCCAATGAGGAAGCAAGAATAACTTAAACCTCATGGTGACTGTGAGTAGTCCTAAGACCACTATTAATTTAGTTATTAAATTAATTGAACAACGAAGTGATTAGACTGAGGTTTCTCAACCACTATGGTGGTCAGTATAGACAAACAAAATCTAAGTCTGTAAATAACTCAAGATTAAACAATCAAAACCTAAGTGCAACCAATCACAAACAACTAACTGGTTTCTAAGCTATAGCCAATTGGATAATTCTTTGCTTTTGCCCGTTCTCCCCATATAGGTCATTCCCCTTGCTCTTCTTGGTGGAGCTACCCTAACTATTCCTGGCTTCATGCTGCCCAACTAGAATTTATTTTTACTCAAATAAACTCTTCAAAAATGTTTAAAAAAATAAACTCTTCAAATTTTTATTGTGCTCCAGTTTATGTTTCAATGAAGCTTTATATATAATAGCCATAAACCGGAATCAACCCAGATACCCTTTTATGGCAGAATGGTTTAAAAAAAAACTCTGGTCCATACATTTCAGAGAAACCCACTCAGCAATAAAAAGTGCAAATACAACAATTTGAGTGCTTCTTCTGAGAATTACGCTGAGTGAAAAAAAAAGCCAATCTACAAAATGTACATAATGTATGACACCATTTATATAACATTTTTCCACATGTTCAGGTCTTTATAAAATAATAAAAAATTGCATTTTGTTTTGTATCTATTAAAGATGCTTGTAGTTTATAAAAAAATATTGCCCTGATATACACAAGAATTTCTTGATAATGGTAATTATAAACAGGTACTCCCAACCCCCTTGTGTCCACACCAGTATTCAGTCTAGATTGGCTTAATCTTGAAGTGTAATCCAACAAGACTGAAGACCAAACACTTCAGGTCCTGGACAAGATAATAAAATACTTGTAGGCCTTCTGGATCCTTGGATTGATTGACATTAATAAGAGAACAGATTTTTGATGTTGTGAAAGAAATGTGTTCATCTCTAATGACAGTTGCGAGCCCCTGCTGGCCTACTCGGTCAGGAGGAGGCCACAAAGCATCATCCTCTTTGGTAATTTCACTGTCTTCAATTATTCTCTTCAGTTCCTCCATTACACTTTTATGTACATATGCCTCTTTTCTGATCATGACATCATCTTTGTAATTGCTGTTGTTGGCATATCTCAATTTCCCGTCCGGTCGGAACTCAAACTCTAGGAACTCGTGGCTGAACTTGCCCTTGTGACGCACGTAGTAACCCAGATAAAAGTCACTCTCCATGGCTCACAAGAAAGCTACCAAACTCTATCAGCAAACCTCACCACCACTGTTTGCGCCCGACACTGACATTTTATATAACATTTTGAAATGTTCAGTTGGGGAACAGTGGGAGAGGGTGGAAGAGAAGTGGAGATGTTTATCAAAGGGCAACATGCAAGAGTTTCTGAGGCTGGAGCTGTTAAGTGTCTTGACTGGGTTAACAGAAACATGAGCCTACACATGTGATAAAATTGTAGTAAACTAAATGCCCCCCCAACACACATGCACACACACACACACAAATGGGTACAAGCAAAACTAGAGAAGATTGATAAAATGGGTGGTTGTATCAATGTATCAATTATATCACAACATCCTGGTTGTGATATAATGCTGCAATTCAGCAAACTTATCATGGGAGGGGGGCAGTGAGAAGGATTAAATAAATAATAGAGAAACATTTGTTTTTAAAGTTTTCAAAAGTGGGGCCTGGATGGTTCAGTCGGTTAAGTGACAGACTGACTCTTTATTTCAGCTCAGGTCATGATGTTATGATTCATGATTTTTTTAAAAAAACATTTATTTATTGAAAGACAGAGAGAGAGAGCATGATAGGGGGAGGGTCAGAGAGAAAGGGAGACACAGTATCTGAAGCAGGCTCCAGGTTCTGAGCTGTCAGCACAGAGCCCGACACGGGCCTTGAACCCACAAACCACAAGATCATGACCTGAGCCAAAGTTGGATGCTTAACCAACTGAACCACCCAGGTGCCCCTCATGATTCATGATTTTGTACTCTGTATTGAGCCTGCCTGGGATTCTATCTCTCTTCATCTCTCTATGCCCCTCCCCACATTTCTCAAAATAAATAAATAAATATTAAGAAATAACATCTACAAAACTATTTGTTAATAAAAAATAAGTAATCCCCATAATTTTTTTGTAAATTATAACATTCACATTTAAAAAAAATTTAATGTTTATTTATTTTTTTTAGAGAGAAAGAGAGAGAGTGAGACAGAGCACGAGCAGGGAAGGGCAGAGAGAGATGGGGACACACAGATTCCAAAACAGGCTCCAGGCTCTGAGCATTAGTACAGAGCCCAATGCAGGGCTCGAACCCACCAACTGTGATATCGTGACCTAAGCCGAAGTTAGATGTTTAACTGATTGACTTAGCCACCCAGGCGCCCTTAGCACTCACATTACTGAAGCTTATTCAGAATTTAAATGAATATTTATTAATGCATAAAGTTACCCTAGGGCTTTTAGCAAACATTGTTTCACTCTCAGTAAATTTTCTGCAAATGGACTTCACTATGAACTTATATAAGAAATCACTCAAATATCAGAGGGCAAAATAGCTTTACCTGTACTTTTATATTATCTATTTTTATTCACATATATATGTGAGAAATGTATCTTATGCAATGATAAATGATTTTTGGTTACAAGATAACCAATAATGTTAACATAATTCAATGTCTTATTGAACTACTGTCTGTTAAATTTGTGGGTGTTTTAGCCTAACATCTCATACCACAAAATATTTTATTCATAAGCCTTGTGATCACTGTTTCAAATGAAATTATTTAAAATAGCCAGATTTAGAAAGATTTATTGTAAACAAAAACTTTTGAAAGATAATTCCAATCAAACAATTTGACGTTAGCAAATTTCCTCACTTTGAAGAAATGTCCAAGTTAACATACTTCCAACTACAATATTTAGTATTGAACAGTGTTTGGTGTTCAATGACATTAATTCTGTGATGACTTTTTGTTTATCTCTCAATTTGTTTTTTTATAGACTTTCACAGGAACAAGGGAAGTGGTTGAATGTGGTTGTTTCAACTCTTCAATGAGGTTTTGTCTCAATAAATGCATTGATATCAAAGTCATGCAACTGAAGGAAAGCACTGAAAGATTACCAAGCAAAATATTTGATAATCTAACCAAAATAAAAAGCAATTTTGGATAGAAAAAACTAATGTTTCAATTATGATATTCAATATTGCTTTGTAGAGTTATGTAATAATAGCAACTGCATTGTTTTTTCCAAATTAATGAGTGTGCTTGAATTAAAATTATAGAACATAAAAAATATATCAGATAAAACAGAAAATTGCATTTTACAAACAGAATACTAATCAAATAACTAGTGTTTTATTATAAATTTAAAAATTTATAAATATTTAAAGTATAAAAATATTTAAAATATTTTGCTTTTTGAAAAAGACCCAACTTCAGAATAAAATCCACAAAATTCGCACACAAAAATGGCAAACCAACCAATAAATGAGTTATAATTTTAAAAATTGATTTCTCTGGAGTTCTTAAATTCTAAAGAATAGATGAAACTGTTAAGAAACAAAAATTAAAAACATATCAGATTCCTTTAACCTTTCATCACTATGTGTTAAGCTTGAAGTTAGATGTATATTATGTTCTAATAGGGAAAAAAGTCGTCAGAAATCCACAGAATAAAACACACTATATTTAGCAAGTCTCCAAATACACAGTGAGTGATCATTAAAGGCTGCATAATAATTACCACAACAATGATCATACTATTGAATAATAACTCTGCCTGATACAAGTTTATAGGATACATTTAAATGCTAATTTAAATGCATTTAAATTTGAAAGTAGAATCTTCCTGTTTTGGAATGAAATATTGCCTTAGCAGTTGCTCATTAGTGGAAATTTAATGAAGAGAATAGGCTTAGGCTATGATTAAATCTTTGTTTTGTACTAAGTAGTAGGGTTTAGTGTTACTACCAAAACATTGTTACATAATAGGAACACTTTTTAAGAATTATCTTAACTAGGGGTGCCTGGGTGGCTCAGTCGGGTAAGAATTATCTTAACTTCCAAATGCCTGTAAACTTGCAAAGTTCTCAGTGTTTGTCTTTATGGTTTATCAAGAATGTGAGATAACTTTCAAATATAGATCTACACAAAGATATTAACAACATTTGTACTTTTGGTATAAAAATTAAACAACTATGTAAGCATCCTCATTTTTCTATTTGTCTTTCCTACCATTTTGTACCACTTAGACATGGTGATTATAAATTGTTCTGCTAAAGTAACTGAGGTCATTATCTCTATTTATGCATATATGAGGCATTTATGAGAAAGGGTAAAATAATGGTAAACCTCAGTAGCACCATGAGGTTTGATATAATTGTTTCCTTTATGGTAGCTTAATGAAAATTTGCTATTGCTTATGTAATAATTATGACACATTTCACAAGTTTATTTGGCAAATTTCATGCTGAGTTATATCAAATTCTATGACTTTTACCAAAATGTCATATCATTCACCTTCTGTGAAGTTGATGTGGTGATTGTGCAGTATACTTAACTGTAAAAGGAACACATTTATTTATTTTCATTTAATACATCCTTATATGTGTTAAATAGCAAAGTTCAACTGAGTAAGTTTGAAAATAAAGTTGGCTTTATTGAATGATTAATGAATCAGGCCCCATTTCATCTAACAAATAGATGAATATGGGAATGCAAATGTACTAAGATTTACATAAGTAATTGTGTCTAATTGAGGATATACATTATAATCAGAGAAAGTAAAAACAGGGTCCTGGATATTCTGGTTGTATAAGTTAAACTCAGTAAGAAACTTCTCAGGGGGGTCAATTGTACTTTGCAGTGACTTTGGAAATAGAAGAAATATTGATCACAGGGAGGACCAGCCAATCTCTTGCCTCATGGATAGATCAGAATTTTTGATGACAAAACCAGCAACTGGAAGGTAGTCCATTTGAGCAATTGCCTGGGAAATAAGGATGAGGGCATTATCTTTCCAAGGAAATGTTAGAGTAAAGGGAAAAATAGAAGAAAGAGTTTTACATTTAATTAAACTATGAATCTAATGTCTTGGGTAGAAGCAGTCTACCTGGATGTAATCTACTTCTCTTTCTCATCAGTTTGGTTCCGAGGTCTCCAGCTTTTGCAGAGGACTGGGTGTCAGATGGAGATTTCTTTAGCTATAAGATATGTGCCCAAGGCTTAATGCCATCTAGTTTTACAGCAGTGACACTTGTCAGGAGCACTTAGTAAGGTCCCTTCTACTGGGGCTCAAGAACTGTTTCCAGAGTACCCAATTACTACGCTCCAGTCTGTGACTAACAGGATTCTTTGAATTGGGATCCAGGAAGCTTTATAAGAACATTTTTTTCCATGTTTATTTAATTTTGAGAGAGGGAGAGAGAAAGAGAGAGAGAGAGAGGGAGAGCAAGTAGGGGAGAGGCAGAGAGAGAGGGAGACACAGAATCTGAAGCAGGCTCCAGGCTCTGAGCTGCCAACACAGAGCCCAACATGGAGCTCAAACTCACGAACCACAAGATCATGACCTGAGCTGAAGTTGGGCTCTTAACCAACTTAGCCCCCAGTTGTTTCCAGAAAGGTCATTTAAACTGTTGATGATAGACTTTAGCAGAGGACATTAAAGACTCACAGTAGCTGGTCATACTAGCATGAGACACCAAAGATCAGCAGAAAGTTGTATACCAATAGACATTGTTCTACCAGTGATGATCTCATGTGGAAGGAGTTTATATTTTCCAAAGGAAAAATAGTCATAAAAACCAGAGGCAGTACCTTAGGCCAGAGGAGTCCAGTAACTTCATCAAGTTTAGAGATTTTTTAAATGTTTGTTTGTTTATTTTGAGAGAGAGAGAGAGAGAGAGACAGACAGACAGAGAGAGGCAGAAAGAAAATCCCAAGCAAGCTCCATGTTGTCAGCATGGAGCCCTACACAGGGCTTGAACTCATGAACTGTGAGATCGTGACCTGAGTTGAAACCAAGAGTCAGATGCTTAAATGACCAAGCCACCCGGGTGCCCCAGCAAGCTCAGAAACTTTACGTTTGAAGATCCCATTAGTTCTTCTGACCTTGTCTGATGATTGAAGGTGATAGGGACTGTGTTAATTCCAAGAAGTTTCTAAAGGTTTTGTTAAGGCTCATGTGATTTTCCCAGTAAAATGCATACCTTAA